TTCCGTGCCGGTTGTCCCGGCTGTGGGCCCTCCGCCCGCTGCGTGTCACCGAGGGCTTTCCCTCCTTCCCTTCCCGTGCCCGCCGCGCTCCCTCCCTGCTCCTGGACCTTCCCTGCGCGCCCAGCCACCTCCTCTGTGCTCTGGGGAGCTCTTCTGGCCTGGACTGTGGCGGGAAAGAGGAGAGAGCAAAGACTTCCTCAGGGTGGTGGGCGAGCATGGAGGAAGGGCAGAGACTGCCTGTTCCTGCTTCCCTCTTGCCCCAATACCTTGCCGTGCTGTCCGTAGTTGGTGCTTGCCCTGCTGCCCCTCAGGAAGCTGCCGCAATGGGATGGGGTGCCTGGTGTTCAGACTGGTGGGAGTGGAACAGTACCTTGGCCTGGTTGGGCTCAAAAACGGAAGCTGAGTTCGAGCAACGTGGTTATTGCTTCTTATCTCCCATCTGAGCGGGTTTGTGTTTCGGTTTTTACTTCTCCAAATGCACCTTAATCGCATGTATGAGACTTACTAGAGCTGATTGAGTCTCTGGTGTGTACTGGGTTTGTGAGGTGTATTGTGAGACCAGCAGTTAGAGCTGTTTCCAGATGAACTTAGACCAAGGATCTGCTTGGACTAACAAGCAAACAAGAGTAGTAAAGTACTTACGAGCAGGACTTGAGAGAACTTTTTAAGTCTTCCCACTTTGTTGAAGTGCTTGTGACTTTAAATGTGCTCTTGGAGTGCTGGCAAATACTTCTGATTTAAAGTGACACTTTCTGGAACATAGACGGGTGTGCAAGATCATAGTGAACTCTCTTAGTCAGCATTTGCATTTTTATAGCAATGTAATTCCTGAGTGGTTGTCAAAATGCATGATGGACTGTTGTATCTCCCATTAATCCTCTACCCGTGTTCTAGTCACCTCTGTATAAAAGGATTCTTTTTAAAGACAATTTTAACAAAATTATTTGTTTCAGGAATAGAAATCACCTTTATTGTGGGACTCATTTGAAAGTGTATTTAATTTACACATAGTTCACGCGATGTGGTAGTTCTATATAGTTCTGTAACCAACCACAGTCTGTTAGTACGCTTAGACTAAAGGTGACAGGGAAGGGTGTTTGGCTCTGGAGATGTGCATGGGAGCTGCAGTAAATAACATTATCCCTTAGCAGCGTCGTGAGTTGGCTCAAGAATCCTTTGGGTGTTGTGAATGCTGTCATGATAAAGCTGTGGTAAGCCAGCACATTGGTCTTTACACAGAGGTGCTGGTGGCAGAGCTGACACTTCGATTTCAGACCTGAAGACAGCGTAACATCCTAGAGGCTCGAGAACAGGCTAAAACTGATAAATGTAGCTGTAACTAGCAGTAACACATTGAAAGCCCAACTCAAAACAGCTGATTCACTGCTATTGAAATTCGAAGTGAGTTTTGGTATTTTTGAGTTGGTGATCTATCAGAATAGTTTAAAAAGCATGTGTATCCAGTTAGTCAGTGTTTTGCTTTGGGTGACGAGTACTTTTACTGGTGTACCTAGCAGCAACTGCTCAGTTAGGAAAAGAAAGCCAATTGCCTAAATCCAGTTCATTATGTGATTCTTGGAGATGTAATTGGATGTGTATGTTTGAAGTAATGCCTTTTCTCTTGAGGAAGGTGTTACAAGGTCTTTCATGATGCAGAGATGGCTAGTTTTGTCAAAGAAAGCCTGCCTGGTAGGGTTCTGTCTTGGAGCTTGTAGGGTTTATGTATAGCCCTGAGGGTTCCCTAGAATTTTAGGTTTTAGAGGAAGAAGGGGGAATGACAATAAAGCAGGAAATCAGGAGAAAATGTGTGTTTCAATTCAAACTAAAATGAGAGGAGCAGCTGTAGAGCCTGTGAAAAGCAGTTGGTTCTGGCTAAGACAAATATTGGACATCATAAACTTAATTGTGTGGAAAATCTGCTTAGTGTTCTCTAGGGATCACAAGCACATGTTTGTGCTTTTAAAGGGTCAATGTATTTAAGCTTACAGGAACTGAAGCTTCCAGTGAGTCTAGAAAAATAGATGGAAGCTTTAGATAACACAATTATAACAACATTATTACTATGCTGCTTGTCATCTACGATCCCAAATAAAAACAAATGAGGTCTGTTCATTCTCCCTCTCTTTCTGAGCTCCAGTGTAAGAGATGCAATTGGAATTGCACTCCCAGCTGTAAGAGGACAGTAAATTTATCAGGATTACTGATTTAGTGTGAGGTTCTGGAAAAAAAAAAAAAAGAGTAGGCAAGAATAAAAAGAGGGTAGGAGGAAAGATGAACAGCTAACAAGTTATTTGAGCCATAGACTGTAGGGACCGATAACAGTACATTGGCTTATCTATAGAAATTTCAGTTAAATAATATGGTGGAAGTGGCTGGAGGAGAGAGAAGTCCCACAGCTGGGGAAGAATCTCTTGGAGGTGACTATGGGTATAATATGTGGACGAACGGAGGAAGGAAACCTTTGCAGAAATGGAGACAGAAAGCTCTGGAGGTGTCTGCGAAAGGTGAAGGCGTCTCCCTTCGTCCCTCCTGCAGTTCTGGGAGCCTGCCTCTGGCATATGGTTTCAGGTTTGGTTCCAGCTGCTTGCAGTTCCTGAACTCCTGTGTGTTCTCTTCATTGCGTCGGTGATGAGCCGCTTACTAGTAGCATTGCTGTCAGTACGCTACAGGCAGTGCTCACATCTGCTGCAGTAAGTGCATGAAAAGTTTCAGTCAGGGTTTAAAAAAAAAAAAATACAGTCTGTTCTCTGTTCCCAGTCGTCATGGCTGTACACGTGGGGATGCTGAGCTATTTGCATACAGGCTAGCTCGGGAGCAGCAGTGTACAAACAGAGCTATGCTTTACTTGAATAGTAAACACTGTGGCAGAGTGTTTGAGTAGGTTCTGAAATGGCTTTTGGAAGTGTTCACACAATGCTGATGTTTGTCTGCCTCAAAATTTTGTATCTGAATCACCAAGCTGTCTCCTTAGGACACCTGCTGAGTGATTGTTTGCACCTTGAGTGCTTGCTGTGCCAGCAGAGGGGTGAGACAAACTTTCATTAAAAGACTTGTGCCTTACCCCCTCCACAGAAACTATGCTACAATTCCACAGTCCCCATTTCTCTCCTTTTCCTTCCCAGCCCTCCCTCATCTTTTTGGCTTGAAAACTTGTTGGACTTGATGCTGTTCTTTCCCTGATGTTCCAAGAAAAGCAGAAGAGAAATGCTGCGTTTCTCCTGAGTAGTAGAAAATGTGCCTTTACTGTGAATCTTCTCTGGGTTTGTTTTGAACATGATTTTTTGCACAAAATCAGTCTTGAAAAAGTCCCTTTTAGCTCCTTGCATGTAAACAAGATACATGGGGTGAATATGAGATGTCTCTAACAGCAGGTGTACTGGCTGTGGATGGTGTCATGCTGATGTTGGAGCAGTGGGAATTATTCTAGTATTTGCATGAATATTTTTCTCATGTACATTGGGTGAATCCTGTTGGCAGGTTACAATGTCGTGGATGTTTTTGAAGAGAAAAAGGTGGCGTCTGCCTTACTTTGAATTTGTGAAAGTTTACACTTGAAGCATGAAATGAATGCGTGCTAAATGCAGGTGGAGCAAATGATAGCTGGCTAGAGTATGTGTGACCTCGCTGGGAGCTTTGCTGGCACAGATGGGCAGCAGCATGGTGCTCATCTATTGCTGGATGAAGTTACAAGGTGCTACTTGACAAGTGGATTAAGAGAGACTGTCCTAACGAGTTAGGCCAGAAAGTAAAACCTTTGCGTTTCAAATAGGTGAAATAATAAGACAGATCTAAGGAAGGGATACATGTCCAGAGCATCTTAATGCAGCTTTAGTTCCTTCCTCCCCGAGTCAGGAGTTTCTTGAGCACTTTTTTTGCTTATTTGCCAGGTTGCGGGAAGGGTTTGGGTGAGACTTGGATGAAACGTTTGGACTGAAGTTTTCTTGTCTCCCTCCCAGCCTGTGCCAACAGCGCTGGCTCAGGTTGACCGCGAAAAGATCTACCAGTGGATCAACGAGCTGTCCAGCCCCGAGACACGGGAGAATGCGCTGCTGGAGCTGAGCAAGAAGCGTGAGTCTGTGCCTGACCTTGCCCCGATGCTCTGGCATTCGTTTGGCACGATCGCAGCGCTCCTTCAGGTGCGTAGGGCTGGCGACATCTTTATTCCGTGGTGCATCTCCAGCACGTTGCAGAGCCTGTGCGTCCGTGGGGCAGATGTGGGGAGGCACTGGTGGGGTCCCTCGCTGCCGCTGCTGGGAGTGAGATGTATGCTGGGTCTTGTAGTAAGGGGAGCAGATGCGGGGAGCCCATTTGCTGTTAATCATCACGAGCAAGGCGATGTGTGCAGAGACTGTAAGATTTCTAATTGGATAGCTTACATAGTTGGAAGGGGAACAGGCAAGTTCTTGGGTATATGAGCTCCCTGTGGATCACATTCTGCTTATTTTCATACAGTGTCATAGCAGAGCAACAACAGTCTTACTCCTAAGCTCTCTGCTTTGATTTTTCCATGAGCTTGAGCACCTCCTGGTCAGAAGGTTGCCCTTGCACGGAGCCCGGGGGAAGGGCAGCATAGGAATGCTGCTCACTCTGCCAGAGATCTTTACAAGGGAAAGTACCTGCACTTATGTCAAACCGAGTGGCTCAGCTTATCTCTGGGCAAACTGCTGTACAGCTGATGACTGTCTGTCAGTGCTGAATCTAGTAATTTCTTTCAAAGAAAGAAAGAAAAGAGTGTGGGATTGACAGTGTCAAACTGTTTTCAGAGTGGCCCTGAAACAAGTGAAGAAAATTAGAAGGGAGCTGTAACTGGAAGCAGGGAGATCTCTGAATCGGATTTCTTGCCCTCAGCTGCTTCCCCTGCATTCAGTTAGAAGAGGACCAGGAGCTACAGTATGAAGAGTGGGTGTGCTCTGCCTCTAGGCACAGGAACAACATGCCTCTTCGATCTGGAAGTTCAAAACAAAGCAGTACCTACACAAGTAAAGAGCCAGGAAATCAAATGTACCCTTTTTTACTGAAATTAAGGTTTGAATGTGTTCCTGTGACTCCTGGTCAAATTGACTCTGACCCAGCTCTGCCCTTGCCTGGGCAGCATGGTGGCTGCCATGTCACTTCAGAGTGATGTGTGGTGAAAGCAGGCTGTCATCTCGTGTCATCATAGTTCCTCACTGGGCAGGTGCTTTGGTGCAGCTTTCTGATGTCTTTCTTCTTTAACTTTTCTTCATCTGTTAATTTTTAGGAAATTGTAAATATTTATCCATCAATCAACCCTCCGACTTTGACAGCCCATCAGTCCAACAGAGTCTGCAATGCTTTAGCTCTACTACAATGTGTTGCATCACATCCTGAAACGAGGTGAGCATTTCCAAGTGTGTGAGTTCTCTGAGGTGTTGATGTTGACAGCTCAGCCTGTCTGTTTGACTACAGAAGCACGGAAGCTATTTCTTCTTTTTTACCAAGGGAAGTGGAACAGAGGACAGAGCTGGAAGATAGGCAGCTGCCTGCTGCTTTTGCTTGTTTGTGTGTATTAGCAGGATGACAGCTTTATGGTGGTTCTAAATGCATTGCATTCCCTGAGTCATCCTGAGATCCTGCAAATTCCCAAAACATTGGGTTGTGACAGCTCCTGGGAGCTCAGCCAGAGATAAGGGTGCCTTTGTGCTGAGTGCTGTGTGCAGGATCCTCGTTGTAATGAGCTTGAAGTTATTTAGACCAGCTGTCCAAAGGGTGGAATGAGCAGGACTGTCCTTCCCAGAGACCATGTGTGGCAAGGGAGCAATAGCAGAGCCATGTCTGGAGTCCTCAGCCAGTGCCTGACTTCAGATTTTCTTAATCTGTGTCCAGCCCATGTCAGCAGGGACAAAGATGACGTATGTTCAGCCAAAATCAGTAGCCAAAGCTTGGAAGAAAACTACCCAGAGACCTATGATCTTATGCTTCTGTTCCTGCGGAGAAGAAAGTGCTGCATAGCTGAAGTTGTTTTAGAGCTGCTGCAAAGTAGTGTTAAACTGCAACCCTTCATGAGATGATATCCAAAGAAATAGGGTACTTTTACACCACGCACCTTTGCATTTAAAGTTTGAAAACTGAAAACAGAGGAAGAATTTTGGATGATTGTGCAAGAGAGCTTCCCTCTGCTAGCAGAGCAATCTCCAAGTTACTCCCTGCAGTCTGTGTTTTTCACTGTTGTGAGAAGGCTGTGTTGAGGACTCTTGGGAAAAGGTGGCTGTGCACATTTAAACCGTGATTCCTAGAAATCAGCGGTCTGGATTTCTGTCCTGCAGAGGCTTTGTGCGTGCATTGTGGCTGACTGTCCCTGCCCATGGGAGCCTGCAAGGTGAAATGCAACAGTGAATGTACAAAGCATAGAGTCTGAGTGGCAGGAAGAAGTAATAAAACCAAGAGAACATGCTCTGTTCCTAGTCACCTAGAAGCAGCGATGCAGGTAACTGACGGTTTAGGTCTCAGGTTTTGTGCTGCGCCCAGTGCAGAATTTACTTCATGCCTTTCCATCAGAGAGCAAACTGTTACCCTCTTTTGAGGAGCAGCAGCAGTGGTGTCTGTCAGGAACAGTCTGAGGCTCTGCATGGTAATGCTGGATTGTGGGCTCGCTTTATTTTCCTTGTCTCTCACGTTGGGTATTCTCTCTTTCCTACAGGTCAGCTTTTCTGGCAGCTCATATCCCTCTCTTCCTGTACCCCTTCTTGCACACAGTTAGCAAGACGCGTCCGTTTGAGTACCTGCGGCTCACGAGCCTCGGAGTGATTGGTAAGCAGCTGGAGTAACACTGGAGCATTGGTTCCTTATCAAGTTGGATGCAGTTCCTGCTGTGGGTGTAGAGACCTGCATGACCAAAATCACAGGTCTCTCTCTATTGGGATCTTCGGGGTCCTGTAGTATTAACAGGAGGAGCTGCTCCTTTTCCATCAGTTGTGGAGGCAGGTTCCTCTTAGTGTGTAGGAACTGGGCTTTTCACTAATAAGAAAACACTGAAATCTGGGTGCATTGCCAAAAATGTGAGCACAAGCACCCGCAGGCTTCTTGTGTCTTCACCCTCAGTCCAGCCAACTAGACACTGGTATGAGTGCGTGCAGGCTGGGCTTTCTTGGTGTTTTTGTTGCTTATTGACATGGGTGTATTTGCCCTGTCTTCGCCGTTTCCTGTTTGTTTTTTTTTTCTTCCTTCTTGCTGCCCAAAACATTTATCTCAATGCATAAAGTGACAGGGTCTTTATGCATTTCTTCTTCCCAGAGGTTGCTGTGGGTGGCATGATCCTCTAGTGTTTGTGTTACCACTGGAGGAGAGCCAAGAATACATACCCTTTCTGAAAAACAAACAGCCCCCAAACCCAGCTTGATTACTTTTGTGCTGCCGAAACAGTTTCTTCTCCAGCCACGTGCTGCAACATATTTGGGATGACAGTTGTTCTGCCTGCCACTCAGACTTAGTGATTTCTTGGGAGGACACAGCACAGGCCCTCTTTGAAAGGCGAAATTTTTGGAATCGAGTTATCATTTATTGATTTTGGGTTTTGTTTTTCCTTCAAGGGGCCTTGGTGAAAACTGATGAGCAAGAAGTGATAAATTTCTTATTGACAACAGAAATTATCCCCCTGTGCTTACGCATTATGGAGTCTGGCAGTGAACTCTCCAAAACGGTACCTGCTCTTTTTGTCTTAATTAAGACTTGTTGTTGTTTATCTCTGACTGACTGGGCAACCAGTAACCTGCAGAGTTGGCTTGTGGCCTGTTGCAAATGCTGGGGCAACTCTAGGTGGAGTTTTTGCCTCCTCAGAAAACAAACCAAAGCCAAACCAAAACCAGCAAACTAAGCTGGAGTTCCTGAGCTCGGGAGTTTTACTGGGAAAGATGTTGCTGCTCTCAACACGCGTTCTGTCCTTTGCAGCCCTGCAGAGTAACTTTCAGGCCTGAGCTGGATCAACTTTCCTTGGCCTGAGAGAACAAATGCTGTAGCTACACAGTGCAGAGGTTGGGTGGCAGCTATTACTGGTGGTTATGGGAATGTTCACCGCACCAGGCCAGTTTGTTGTCTGCTCCTCTGATCAGGGGCCCCTTTCCCCCACGAGTTCAGATCTGTGGTCAGACTGGTCCGATGACCTAGGTAAGGGTGGCCACAGGTTTTAGTCTGTCTGTGCTTCCCTGGTGAAGCCTGCTTGTGTAGCTGGCTGAGGTTCTTCTGGAAAGTCACATGTCTCGTGATGAATCTGTAATGCTCAAGATGAAAACCGAAGTCAGCTTGCTGTCTAGATGATGGGGCCAAGGGATAGATCCTTCTGCTGCTTCTTGCACTGTCACCAGCATAGTGTGGCTGTCCTGAGTGGCCCGGTGGTCTTATGCAACCTGCATCCAGTCATCTCGAACACCGTGCTTTGCGTCCAGCTCTTTTCTTTAGCCAGAGATGCCAGGCATTGTGTAGTGTCCTGCATTTTCTTTTGGCTTTAAACTTTCACTGAGTAAAGCACTTGCTGCCTGCTGAAAAGCCTTTCAGCTCTGGGGCTGCCTTGAAAAGAACACAGCACAAAGGCTGTCCCTTTTCAGGATGGATAAATTGTTTATACACTTTCTTTTCTGGTTTCTCCCCATTCTAGGTTGCTACGTTTATTCTTCAGAAAATCCTCCTGGATGACACAGGGCTGGCATATATCTGTCAGACTTACGAGCGGTTTTCCCATGTTGCCATGATACTGGTAAGATTATTTGTTTCCTCTCTTTAAAAAAAGAAAAAGTTATGCTCTAGCAGCCAGCTATTTCAGCGGCTACTGACTGCTCTCTGGCTGGAGCACAGGATGAGGGAGGCAAATAGCTCTTGAGCTTATTGCTTGTGACACTGTAGCTCCCTGCTTCCATGTTTCCTTTGTAGTTTGCATGTCAAGAGAACACATATTAGTTGTAATATAATGAGTCCCCAAGATAAACTGGGTAAACATCTCCAGAGAAGAAAAAGAATTTTCAGGGTTCTTGGTTGGATGTGAACTGATTTAATTTTATGTAAGAATGATCACGTGGCCCAGACCATGGATCCGTTTCCCATTGCTGTCCTGCAACAGGTTGAGCAAAGGAGTAAGAGCAGGGCAAGCATATATGATACTTGACCTCATAACAGTCTTGCAGTTGCCAGCTATTTTCAGCTTTGGATTTCTGGGGCCAATTGTGGGTTTTCTATGCAGTAACCCCCAGTGTTTGTCCTGTCCTCCCCTTGAACCCGTGGAAACTTTTTGTGTCTGCAGTGTCCTTTACCAAGGAGTTTCATGGGTTTTCTGTTTGCTGCCTGGAAGGCTAACCTCTTTTTTTTCCTCTTTGAACTTGACTCCTGCTAGCTGCTGCTTATGACTAATTCCTGTGTTGGAACACAGAGCAGATAGATTTTGTCCGTTCCCTGTCCCCTGTGAAGGAGAAGTTGGGGTACTCGTAATTTGTTCATCCCAGGAGTAATAGCTGCAACTTGAGCTTTATTATCTTTGAGCTCGCCGAGGGCAATACATGTCTGCCCTGGAATAGCTATTGCCCTGCTTTTGTGTGTGTTTGTTTAGTTGCTTGCTTTTTAAAGAGCAGTCTCAGGAGAAATAAATGCAGCATTAAGCTAAGCACTTTGCAGTGCTGGTTCTGTGCCTGAATGTTGATGCTTTCATTGGAAATTTTTATTTGTCTGTCTTTTCCCAAATGTAAAGAAAATGTTACCTCCTAATTTAACTACAAACAGCAGAATGAGAACAATTGTGAGCTGATGTCCACAATACCAAACATGCCATGATTTTTGCATTCAAGAAAAGAGTCGGCTTTGAGAGTGCATCTGGCTCAGGGGCAAAGTGAAGGATGCAGTTAGAAACCCTGAGACAGGGGAGGGAAGGAGACTGAGGAAGAATCCGTGGCTGGGAAGGGTACAAAAACAGAAGGATGTCGGCATGTAAAGCTGTGTTAGCATGGAAGAAATGCTGACTGTGGTATAATCCCACCATTAGGTGAAACACTGACAGGATTAATATTCCATAGCACTATGGAGAAAGGTGAAAATGGTTGTAGATGTTTCTGTTCTCTGTCTCAAAAATCAGGATAGTGTACTCCTGTGCTGGCCAATGTAGTTTACAAAAAACATCTCGTTGGGCAGATCTGATTGACTCCTAAATATGAGGAAGGAGATGGTTAAACTCCTTCAAAGCAGGCATGTGGAGGCATCCATGCCATTTGCTGGGCCGGGTGCATTCAAGGGTGCAACCGTGTGCGAGGTCCTGTGTGGTGTGAGAAACGGAGGCTGGGCCAGGGAGATCTGCTCTGGCCTTGCTTCCCAGTGATGGCTTAATAAGGGACGTAGCAGAAAGAAAATACAACTCTTAGGTGCACGCTAAGACCAGATGTGGATCTTACTGTACGTGGTGTGGGTGAGCCCAGTCCTTTGGCACGGCTTCTCAGGCTGTTGTTAACGTTTTAAAAGCGCGTTGAAGTGAAGGCAACGCAGATGAGAACAGGGAATATGGCAGAGCTTGGGAACACACCTCAGAGGGTGACTCAGCCTGAGCTTATCAAAGCATTTGGGGTACATTCGCCTTCCTCCACGAGGGGGGAAACCCCAGGTTCTCTTTGATCTAGCAGCGAGTTGGACCACTAAGCAGTCCTGAGGAGGTAAAAACTAAATAGAGATGATGAGACAAGCTTTCCCTGAGCTGTTGGGGGAACCCTTTCCAAGTCGTGGCTAGCTTCGCTTCTCAAAGGCATCTTGCCAGGCAGAGCGCTGGGCTCCATGCAGGGGTGTCTGGATGAAAGCTAATGGGCTGTGATGCGTGGGAAGCCAGGGTGAGTGGTTTAATGGTCTTCCCCAGTCTCTGCTGATTGTGAAGCTGTCCTTACAAAGACTTTAACTGGTGGCACTGGCCTCTGTCAAACAGGGTAAAATGGTCCTGCAGCTCTCCAAGGAGCCGTCGGCACGGCTGCTGAAGCATGTCGTCCGCTGCTATCTTCGCCTTTCCGATAACCCCAGGTAAACATTTTAGAAGTTTGGGCAGGGGCTTCTCCCACTCCCTTGGAAGTGGAGGAGTTGTCCGCAGTGCCCACTCAGGGAGAGTCGAGGTTCCCTGTCTGTCCTTACATCAGCCTGAGCTCAGAGTGGAAAACGGGTGGGTTTTTTGGTTGGTTTGGTTTTTACATTGCTAGTCCCAGGAGCTTTTATGGTACGTGGAAGAAGCTGTGACTGTTTGGGGCTTGCGCAGATTCAAGCTGTGCAGGTTATGACTGCCTGCGCTTAAATGTCCCTTGAACTAGGTATGGGGGGGGACTGAGGTGGAAGGCACGCTGTGCTCTCCCTCTTCTGCATCGTGGGGGCTGTTAGCAGCAGAAGCGAGTACATGAAATTCAGTTGAGGGAATACCAACTGATTTCATGCTGGTCAGCAGCTCTGCCCGAAGCCACTGGGTGCAAATTTGCTATCTTGACCTCTCCTGGCATCGGGATGCTCTTGACTGACAGGTGTCAGAGCGCAGGGGTTGGCTTGGTGGGGTCTAGCATGAGGGCTGGGAGCTGTGCCGGCTGGCCAGGCGCCGCATGCTGTGGTGCCGCTCCTTGGTGCTTTCCTTGGCTGGCCCTGCCGGGGAGACCCCCAGGCAAAGGAGTGCCGTGTCCCCAGTGGGGTTTGCTCCCCACTTGCCCCTGTGAGTTTATTTGTTGGGCCCCGTTTCTTGTCTCTTGATGTAGGGCACGTGAAGCTCTCAGGCAGTGCCTTCCTGACCAGCTGAAGGACACCACCTTTGCCCAGGTCCTGAAGGACGACACCACCACGAAGCGCTGGCTGGCTCAGCTCGTCAAGAACCTGCAAGAGGGTCAGGTCACTGACCCGCGGGGCATCCCTCCTCCTCCGCAGTGACTGCTGGGGGAGGTGGGGGACCGGGGAAGAAACAGCTCAGGTTTACAAAGAACCAGGAACAGGTGACCTCTTCCACAACAAACGGGGCATGCCAGCTGGCTGCCGGCCTGTCGGACCATGCCACCCAGCCAAAGGGCTGCTCTGTAGCGATGCAGCATGCCTCCGGGGATCGCAACACCAGCAAATGCTGATACTACAGCTTAAAAAAAAAAAAAATATTC